CCTTTTTTTTTTTTTTTTTTTTTTTTTTTTTTTTTTTTTTTTTTTTCACCTGACTTCCCTTCCCCATCTCCCTAAGCAACTGTGATTGGTCATAAACTGGTTGAGCTAACCCCTTGTTAGCTCAACTGCATGCTTAAAGGAAAGGCTCCCTTCACCCATCATGCTACTCGTGCCACTTGGAGTAAGTGTATTGTGTTGATTACACAACAATGTCATGTGGGGAACCTCAGTAGTCCAGGAATCTTAAAAGTGATCACAGACTGGCCTGAGGATATAATGTTTGGAACAGCATCAGGAGAAATACTGCATGCTACAGAGGCCCACAATCCAATGAATTGCCAGAAAACAAAAAGAAATACGTCCTGTTCACTGACGGGCCATGTCGAATTGACGGGAAGTGCTGCAGATGGAAAGCTGCAGTGTGGAGCCCCACACAGCGAGTTGAAGAAGCCACTGAAGGTAAGGAAGCATTGAGCTACTTTGCAGAGGTAATGGCTGTCCAGCTCACCTTAGGTGTTACTGAGGAGGAGAGGTGTGTGGGGGGAGTCCTTATACTTCATACAGTCTTTATACTGACTCATGGATGGTGGCAACTGCCTTATGGGGCAGTTGCAACAGCAGCAGTGGCAACAAAACAGCTGATAAAGAAGGGGTAAACCTATTTGGGCTGCTGAACTGGGGAAAGTTGCCCAAAGAACGATACGGTTGTAAAGGTGCGCTGTGTAGATGCTCATGTGCCCAAAAGTTGAGCTACTGAAGAAAACCAGAATAACCACCAAGGACATAAAGCTGCCAAAATTGAGGTGGCTCAAATGGACTTGGACTGGCAAAACAAGGGTGAATTATTTCTGGCTTGGTGGGCCCATGAAACCTTGGGCCGTGAAGGAAGAGATGCACCGAGTAAATGGGCTAGAGACCAAGGGGTGGATTTAATTATGGATACTACTACTCAGGTTATCCATGACTGTGACATATGTGCCACAATTAAGCCAAGAAAATGAAACCTCTCTGGGGGAAGGGTGATGGTGAAAGTATAAATATGGGGCACCTTGCTATGAACTCACGATGGTAAGTGTTATGTGCTTACTGTGGAGGCAACAACTGGGTGTCATATGCAGTACCCCATTCTACTGCCCAAGGTCTGGAGAAGCAAGTCCTATGGTGACATGGCACTCCAGAAAGAATTGAGTCAGAAAATGGGACCCATTTCAAAAATTCCCTTGGAAATACTTGGGCATGGAGTGGATTGATCATATCCCCTCACATGCACCAGTCTCTGGTAAAAAGTCAAATGGTACAATGTATTGTTAAAACTGTATTGAAAGCAATGGGTGGTGGAATATTTAAGCATTGGGAGCAGCATTTGGCAGAAGCCACTTGGTTGGACCATATTCGTGGATCTATCAATCACGATGGTTCTACCTAATCCAGCTCCCTACATAATGGACAGGGAGATAAGTTCCCTGCAGTACCATGTAAAGAACATGTTGGGAAACACGGTTTGGGTCTTCCCAGTTTCTGGAAAGGGCAGACCTCTCCATGGAACTGTTTTTGCACAGGGACCTGGGTTCACTTGGTGGGTTATGCAGAAAAACAGGGATTGTTGGTGTGTATCACAAAGTGTATTACTACAAAAAATTAAGAGACTAAATGAAAATTTTAGTCAGAGGAAAGCATTCCAATTCGCTACTCCATCACAACTTTGTTTATTGGAGGTGTCACAGAACAACAATTAAGACATTTATGTTCAGAATAAACTTGAGGTCTAAAGATTTATAAGGTCTACGGGTGGTGGTTTAAGAGGTATCTTTCCTAGTGTGAACCTTTTGGCTTCAAACTGTTCCAACTCTTCAGCTGTTAATTCACTCCTTGGTGTATATAACTTGTCTGATGTGATACCATTTAGGACTGCAGAAGGTGTGGCTGTGACGTTATGTCCAGAGGCACTGGCAGCCTGTGCAGCTGAAGTATTGCTTGCACCTGACTGAGAAGTTCCTGTCGCTGCATTAGGGGTTCCAGAAACTGTAAGTGGAGCAGTGCTTGAAGAGTTTGCAGCAGCAGAATTTCCAAAGCCTGAGAGTCCAGAAGTTCCAGAGCCACTGGTTGTTCCAGAAGTTTTAAATGAGAAAGAGGCTGCAGATGGAGCTGAAGAATTGCCAAACCCAATAGGAGTGGGAGCACTGTGGGAGGACTTCACACCGAATGTAGGGGGATTGGAGGCGGCAGCAGAGCTCCCAAAAGCTGGAGCATTTCCAGATGGAACACTGGGATTTGCTTTAAAGGAGAAACTGGCAGCGCTGCTGCTGCTGCTCACTGGAAAGCCTGTAATTATGAAATGTATAAGGATGGTCAGAATGGGTCCACCTGTGATACTGAAACACTGCTGCATTTCAAAAACGCAGAAGAACATTTAAAAATATCTGTTTAAGTGCTGGTTGTTTATGCATGAAACTTACTTGGAAAACCAAAGCTTGAGGCTTGCTGTCCTCCAAATCCAAGAGAAGGTAACGGTTGACTGACTGCATTCTTTAACTGAGATAGCTTAAAAAAATTCCAAATACATAAATGAAAACTACATTCCAACACAGGCAAGTATCTTTCAATCAGTGCTTAACACGAAAATGTATATGTGCCATCCAATTTAACATTACTCAGACAAAGTTAATTAGACACTGATCACAAACTATTGCAGCTATAAAGAAAATGCTCTCAGGCCATTCTCTGTCAAACACCCTAGAAGCATAAATCTGTAATTGTAATCACCAAAATCTCTTGGAGCTCTCATTCTCATCTCAGTCTGCTCTCTGAGTGTTGCACAACAACCATCTGTGCTGAAGTCTGGACCCCACCTTTTTAGCTTCAGAAAAGAGCAAGGGCTCCAAATCACATTACAGAAACTTCAATGCACTTCACACAGCCATCACCTAAATTGACTTACACCATCTCCCTGATCGCTGAATATTGGCTTGAACTGTTCTGCTGAGTGTCCTCTTCTGACACACCTGATTCACAATTGTTATATGACCAAGACACAAACTGAAAGTACAGGTATTTCCATGCAGCTTATAATGATAATTTTCCAAAATTGAGATCCAGCTACTGCCTTGCTATCTTGGAATCACCCTTATTCACTCCTTTCCTTAATTAACTAATGAGGTTCATTTATAATACAACTTGCAAACAACTGATTGATTTCATGATTCTAGAGAAAGGTAGATTGATGAACCTAAGCTGTGTTCACAGACTTCCGTGTTCATCTGACTGGCCAGTGCTCAAGTATTCGCTCAAACTCTTCTATCACCTATAAAAACATACTGAAATAGGCACGGTGCAGATTTCAAACTGCAATTACTCCCTCACGTAATTCCTCCTTTTAACCTTTCCAGTTTCTTTAATGCTCCCAGGAGGACTCTAAGGTTACTCTCAAGATCTTCATGCCACTGGTCAGCCAGACCTTTTTTGCCAGATGTTTTCTTGTGGCTGCAGTGCCAGAATAAAACACATCACGGTTGAGATACTCAGAACAGTTCACATATTTACCATTAGAACTGCCACTGAATGTAGGAATGAAACTTTCTCAAGCCTCAGATGTTAAGGCACAAACAAGGATGCACTATCACATATATTTGGTAGTAAGTCTGTGTCCTAAAATGCTCAAAGCAATACCTGTCACCTACTTTAGTAGTAAGACTGCAGGAAAATCCTTTGATAACAGCAGCAGTATCTATAGAAAATTTGCAACATGTCTTTATTGAAAACAAGGTTGCATATTGTAACTATCGTGCCTTAGAAATTGTTTCATTAACAGCCTTTCAAACAGAAACTGATGTTGGTGTAAGCAAGACAGCTTAATTGGCTCTGACTAAAAAATCTGACTAAAAAACAGAATTGTCAGAAAAACCTCTGCTCAAGATTTAAGAGAAAAGCAATAACAGGAACAGAAATAATTTACCTTTCTTTAACACTTACCAAGGATGCTTTTCCTGAGGCATTTAAAGCCTTCAGCTCTTGCAGCCTGTTTCTCCATTGCTGCACTAACTGATTGACAGAGTTTATCTAAACATGGGAAAACACAAACATGCTCTTATTAAGTGTTATTAAAAAAAAAACTAGTAAGATTTAAAACATTTCCTGGAGCTTTCTAAATTGAGGCTCTATCACTATCTGAGTAGGGTGCTTGCAAAAGAATACAAAAAACACAAGTCTGAAATGTGAAAGACGAAGCTTTTCTGTTCTTGTATTTCTGGCCCATCCACATATGCGCTCAATCCTTAAGCTCATGCCCTAAGTCTGTCTTAGCTTCTATCACGTCTTCAGAGAAACAACAGCCATTTTCAAAACAGAACACTTCCAAATATTTTAGCAGTTTCACCTTAAAATCTTTAGCTTTGCAGAAATGAACTCGCTTAATTTAAATCAGTTTCTTGCAAACCAACAGACTGCTGCACACAACTTATGCAGCAATAAATAGTAACTGTGCCTTAGTAACTATGACTGAGTGCTACGTAAGAAAAGTGATTAATATTTTTCAGAAATTTCCACACTGAAATTTACAAAAACACCGCAACTGAAGCTCTGCCTACCTGAATTTTCCTGAAAAAAAAAAAGTCAACTCATGTTCCAAATCCTTCCAAGAGCAAAGTGCTGAGTATTTTTATTACTGGATTTCTTAATTTTTCCAAGAGAATCTTGCACCACAAACATCAATAATTCTTTTGTGTCTAGTCACATGCTAAGAGATCACGTTGTTTGCTATCAGCTCTTATAAAACAGACTGGAAAATACAGGTTTTGCCCCACATTATGCACAGAAACTCATGCTATGGATAATACATTTTGTACCTGCATAATTTGTGAGGCCTGTGTCACGCAGTTATCAGAAAGAAGAAGGTAGAATCATAGACCTGTTTGAGTCAGAAAGGACTTTTAAAGTCATCTGACCCAAATCCCCCGCAACAAACAGGGAACCTACAGCCAGACCAGGTTGCTCAGTTATGGCAAAACATTCAGGCCAGCAGGTCTACCTACCTTGAATGCACCCACATAAAAGGTCAGTTTTAAATACTTACGTAGTTTTCAGTGTTACTGTTTGCGCTGCATTTATAATACTCCAGACGTACCTCCTCAGGTGAGAAATCTTGAAAACCTGCAGGGAGGCAAACAATCAACATGCTCCAAAGGAAATACAACAAAGATACAAAATTGCCCTTCAGAGTTTTACAAGAAACTGCCCTTGCTACACCACCTGTGACAAGCCAGTTCAGATTGGAGATGCAAAAAGGACTCCCGGCGCAACTTTGGAGGTGCAAACACACAAATACCATAATCTAATGACCTACCTTCTGCATCACAAAGCAAGTCATCACCTTGCAAGTGGTTACATTGAGGCACGGCAGTGTGGACAAGTATAGAAATACATTCCAAACAGTAGCAGCACTCAGCAACGCTCAGCAACGCTCAAAATGTTACCTACCTGAAACATTAGGCTTATCTTTCATAGGTGAGTAACATGAAAACATCCACTGTCTAGATGATTCCCAGCTTGCCATGTCTTTTGCTATACAGTCACTAGAAAACAAAACGTAGCAACAAAAGAAGAAATTACATGGTCAGAAGCAAAACTGTGAAAAGCAAAGTCAAACTCCAGTAGCCAAAGCCATTCAAATTAATTCCATAGGACGCTGCTCAGAGGGAGCAACTGAAGTATTCAGTTATCTGTGAAAGACACAACAGTCACTCTGCTGGACACACAGACTCCCTACAAAGCATTTTACCATATCATCAAACCGCAAGTAAATCACATCAGATCTTTACGAGAAACAAAACCACACAAGGCATTTTTAATCCTTGGCAGCATACACTGTTACAGGTTTTTCCCTGAAGCTGTTTGACTACAATAAAACTGAAAACCTTCTCAGTACCAGCTAATTTTACAATATAAATGAACACGTGTGGTACTGAAAAGCAAAACTCAGTAAAGGGGAGTGGAGATGAGAAGAGTTTTATGTTTTTTTCTTTTATTTTGCTAAACAATCAAGAGCACTGAAATCCAAACTTAGCAAAAGCACAACAGAAGCTACAGCAAAAGAACGAAAGCCCAATGGTTAAAGTGGAGGTTAAACAGTAGAAGCAGGTCACTAAATACTAATTGCAAATGTTTCAGATGTTTGCAATACTACATACATTTACATTTCAGAAGCCAGGTAAATAATTTGTTAAACATTTTCTTAACATAATCATAAGAAGTAACTGCAGGTGCTAGCGCTGCTCACTTTCCAGGTTCCAAAGCTCTATTTCTGCAGGAAATCACACTGCTTGTTGCATCTCACCACATGCCTGGTAATGGGTGTGAGCACGCTGGTCACTTTCAACTGGGTCTGAAACCAGGTCTCATTAGATTCGATATAGGTAGAATAATGTATTATCTTTAATACCAGGGAAACTAAGCCAACTAAAGGCTCAAATTTTAACAGGCTGAAATGCCATTTAAGGTGCTTTGAGCCTTTAATTTCAAGCACTGAAATCTTAGCTTCTCCTCCATTACACTCCTGTGGGCAACTTAAACACCATACTGTCTTCACAGCTGTCCAGCTGCCCTACCCAGCCTCAAAGCAAAGATTGCTTTCTTCCTGCATCTCCGGATCTCAAGATAATTAAACGAAGCAGTGTTTCCTACAGTTCTCCCCACACATCCCAGCTTCCATCCCCCAGAACACATCCTCTCCATTATCCAGAGGAAGCCAGTAGGCAGTTAAACAGCTCATCACAGTCACTTCCCAGGGGACAGGGCCATCACTTACAGAAGTCTCTGTTCTTCATCACTGAAGCCATCACCAGAGTTTGCACTGCTTAATGCAGAGAATCTGTTCTGTGAGAAGACCGTGCTTTTGTCGCCCTGTGATCCAAAACCGGAGGCGCCAGAGAATCCTCCTCCATCACTGCTGCCACCCCACGTGCCGTGCTTAAATGTAGGAGGCTGGATGACGTTCGCGTATCTCTGGGTAGCGGCACCCCATCCTCCTCCGGCTCCTCTGACGGGACTCGCTAAGGAAGAAGAAAGGACGCAAAGCGTTTCACACGGGACGCGACTGGCACAACGCCGACGGAAACGAGACGTTCTCCCAGCGAGTCACCCCGGCGCAGCCCTCCGCGCAGCCCCGCCACGGCGTCTCCGCGCGCACAGCAGCCGGCCGTCCGTCCCGCAGGACGCGCACACGGGGGTCCCGCCCGGGCGGAGGGCGCCCGCGCAACGGCTGTGCCGCTCTGCGGAGGAGCCCCGCGGCACTTCCAGACGGCGGGTCAGCGCGGGCACGCCTCCCGTCCGGCGGCCGCAACGCCGCACCGCAGCCGGCTCGGTGCCGCCTCTCGGCTCTTCTCCAGCGCTCGGGAGCCGCTTTCGAGTTACGGCCGGGAGGCAGGAGGCGCGGGTGCCGGACACGCGCACCCAGAAGCGACGCTTCGCGAACAACCACCTCACCTTGCAGCCCTCGGCGACTTCTCCGCAGCGCGCCGCGGCTTTGCTCGCCCTCCCTCCCTCCTTTCTTCCTTCTGTGCCCATCTCCCCACCTTCCGGTACCTGAGTGAGGGCGGCCCCCGCCGCCGCGGGGATGCTCGTTCCAGCACCTGTCGCCGAAGCGGCAGCGACCCTGCAGGAAGAACTGACAGATGGCCATAGCCAACCTGGCCAACCGCCGCCGCCAGCTGCCGCCGCCGTGACGTCATAGAGGAGCGCCGGGCGGCGCCGAGCGGAACGCACGCGCGTG